TGATGATGATGATGATGCTGATGATGCTGATGATGGTGACTTTTTTTTATTTCCTTATTGAGCCTGGTGGACTCCACGAAAAAATATTCGAGCGAGAGCGAGGCTCTTTTTCGGCTCCATTGTCATTAAACTCAGAGGCACTTCCACTCGTCCAAATAACTCCAATCGAATTGCCATTGTTCCAAACATATGTTTGACACCCTCCTTTTCAAGGCTGCATCTTCGATAACGTGGGTTGAGCTCTTCATTCACAAAATTCTGATACCATCTCAAGTTCCAATGATGGTCCGACCACAGTCTCGCTAGGAAAACTGATGATGATGATGATGATGACGGTGATGATGATGATGATGATGATGATGATGATGATGATGATGATGATGATGATGATGATGATGTAGTGGTATGGGATAGCAGTGGCAGTGGCAGTGGTGGTGATGGTTGTTGCAATAGTGGTGATAGAGGTGGCGATGACTTTTGCGGTCGGTGTGCTGATGGTTGATGTGGCTGGAGTAATGGAGGAGACGGAGGTGAAGCTGCCATAAGTAGCCGAGCGGAGTAGCGAGCCTCAGACTATTGTTTCTATTGTGTACGCACATTCGTTACTAAAACTTGCGCAATACGATGTAAAAAGTCTAATCCATTCAACTCAGACTATTAGCAGAGCAGCAGATTAGCTCCCCATCCCCCTCCCCAACCCTTCCCATATACATACACAGACATACATCCCTAAAGGCATAACCACTGCACTTTTCTTAGCCTTTAAATTTAAAAAGCCATAAAATAACATTCCCAATTGTCTGTTCTTTAACAACAAACAGGACTCATTAATTAATAACACATAAGACTCATTCATTGCCCACACATAGGACGCTCTAATTAGCCTAAGTTTCCAGGCAAGGCGATGGATTGCAAGGGCAATAACTGCTACCTGTTACCATAATATACGCTTCATTATCCGAATTAACGCCCCTGAGTTCTTTTCTCCCTCCCTTCTCCTCTCCACGACTAATAATTTCTGTCTGGTGGGTGTTCCCACCGGAAGGTGAGAAAGAGTCGGTGGTGAAGGTAGTGGTGTGGAACGAGGGGGGGGAGGGGTGGTGCTTAAAAGTCGTACGGACGATGACCGCTGAACGATGTAACAACAAGATACTGGCTTCATAAAGAGGACTCGCGTCATACGGATTGTAGCTGTTGTGTAATGCCCATGGGTCGTTCTCGATCACTGCCATGGCCAGCAAATTAATAATACACCTCGCCAGCCCCTGCTGCTTCATTCCGGCTGTTATTATTCTAGCGAGACGTAGTCCAGATGAGTGTGTTTACATAAATCTTTCCGTTATTACGCAAAGTCACGAGCCTCGACCTTCTCTTGTAAAATTTCTCACTAACACCTTCTTAATGATCGAATTGATGTCAGATAATTATGACGTCACTACAACAACGCAAGTATGTAAATTAATCAATGTTGCAGCATTGGCCAAGAACATAGAAAGGAACGTAAATGCATTTATTAGTATAACTTAATATCTTTACTCTTTTTGTCGAATATAAAAGGGTCATCATACGAGTATGCCAATAGACCCCTTAAGACTATCACTAGAAGAAATAAAATAAATAGGGAATTAAGTAAACACTCACAACTGGTCGGATCCTGTAGGGGGGCGTGGCCTTGTATCTTTTGCGTTTGTACATAATGCCGCTGGGACACGCCCCGCTCTTCTGCTTGGGAGAGACAAGGCACTGCCCGGCACTATCAGTGAGCCCACTTGTGTAGGGGTAGCACTCCTCGGTCACAACGCTGGGAAACGTACCGGGAGGAAGGAGCATTAGATGGCTCGTCAGCTCGATTGTTCAAATACTGCATAGCTTCAGAATTCGTGAACGATTTAATACGTGTATGTGTGTGTGTTTGTGTATGTGTTTGTGTATGCGTGTGTGTGTGTGTGTGTGTGTG